CCCCCCAGGTGCCCCCACCTGTGTGACCCGGGCCGTGCCCTCGGCGTAGTTGGCCACGATCTCCACTGTGGGGAGGGGGCAGATTTGGGGATCCCCCCTGAGCCCCCCAAAATTCGGGGAGGGGGAACCCACAAAAGTGTCCCCAGAGCCTGGAGGGGGGTTTGGGGGGGATTTGGGGGGTCCTGAAGGTGAAAGTTGGGGGTTCTGAGAATGAAATTTGGGGGTTTTGGGGGTGAATTTGGGGATTCTGGGGGGGGTGAATATTTAGAGGTCCTAGGGGGAAACTTTGGAGGTCTTGGGGGGCAAAATTTGAGGGTCCCAGAACGTTAAATCTGGGGGTTCTGGGGGGCGACTTTGGGGCTTTTGGGGGGTAAAATTTGGGGGTCTTGGGAGTTGAATTTGGGGGTCCTGAGGGGGAAATTTGGGGATTATGGGGTGAAATTTGGGGGTTCTGGGGGTGAAATTTGGGGATCACATGGGCTGCAACTTGAGAGTCTTTGGGAGAAATTTGGGGATCATGGGGGTGAAACTTGGGGGTCCTGGGGTGGAATTTAGGGGTCCCAGAGGGGGAATTTAGGGGTCGTGGGGGGGGGATATTTAGGAGACCTGGGGGGGAAAATTTGGGGGTCTTGGGTGGGAATATTTGGGAGTCCTGGGGGTGAATTTGGGGGTCCCAGAGGGTGAATTTGAGGGTCCTGGGGGGAGAATTTGGGCGGTGAATTTTGGGGTCCTGACGGGGAATTTGTGGCACCTGGGGGGTGAATATTTACAGGTCCTGGGGGAGAATTTGGAAGTGAATTTGAGAGTCCTGAAGGTGAATTTGGGGGTCCTGGGAGGTGAATTCGGAGGTGAATTTGGGGGTCCTGGGGCGGGAATATTTGGGGGTCCTGAGAGTGAATTTGGGGGTCCTGGGGCAGGAAACGTGGGGGTTCTGAGGGTAAATTTGGGAGCCCTGGGGGAGGAATATTTGGGGGTCCTGAGGGTAAATTTGCAGGGTGAATTTGGGGGTCCTGGGAGGTGAATTTGGGGCTCCCGTGGGCAGAGGGCACGGCGGGTCCTGGGAGGGTCCTGAGGGGGTCCCGGGGAGGTTCTGAGGGGGTCCTGAGGGGGTCCCGCTGGCTCTGAGGGGGTCCCGGTTCGGGTTCGGGTCCCGGGAGGTCCCGGGGGGGTTCCCCGCACCCACCCTGCTGCCGGGAGCACTTGCGGTCGGTGACGCCGGTGAGCGGCCCGCGGCCCAGCAGCACGGGCTGCCCGTCGGGCAGCGGCACGGGCCCGGCCAGGCCGCGCAGCTCGGCCCGCATGGCGGCGGCGGCGGGACCCGAACCGGCACCGGGACCCGAACCGGGAGCGGCGCCGGAGCCGCCCCGGCCCCGCCGCCTCCTCCCGGCGCCGTGACGTCACTTCCGCCACGCAGCCCCGCCCCTTTGCTCCGTTCCCGCCTTTTTTTGCCCTTGCACGCTGCAAAGCCACGCCCCTTTGTTCCTAAGACACGCCCCTTTATTTCTAAGCCACGCCCCCTCAGGGCCGCGCCTCTTTTGGCGCCTGCGAGGCGACTTCCGGTGCTGCTACGCCGCCGCTTCCGGTGGGTGGAGTGGCATCGCGCCCCCTGGCGGTGGAGGACTGGGTGGGTCCTCCAAGGGTGGGTGGGAGAATGGGAGGGGACTGGGATGGACTGGGAGGGACTGGGATGGACTGGGAGGGGTTTGAGGGGCACTGGGAGGGGTTTGGGGGTCGCTGGGAGGCACTGGGAGGGGACTGGGAGAGGTTTGGGGGTCACTGGGAAGGACTGGTTTGGACTGGGAGGGGTTTGAGTGGCACTGGGAGGGGTTTGGGGGTCGCTGGGAGGGGACTGGGAGGGGCTGGGAGAGGTCTGGGGGGCACTGGGATGGACTGGGAGGAACTGGGAGGGGTTTGAGGGGTACTGGGAGGGACTGGTTTGGACTGGGAGGGGTTTGGGGGGCACTGGGAGGGACTGGGAGGGGTTTGGGGGCACTGGGAGGGGACTGGGAGGGGCTGGGAGAGGTCTGGGGGGGACTGGGAGGGGTTTGGGGGTCACTGGGAGGGGTTTGAGGGGACTGGGAGAGGTCTGGGGGTCACTGGGAGGGGACTGGTTCGGACTGGAAGAGGCTACCTGGGGGGGTCACCCCTCCCCACCCCAAGCTGGGACCCCAAAATACGAACCTGCTGACTCAGCATGACCCCCCCGTGACCCCCCCGTGACCCCCCCACGACCCCCGCTGTGCCACCAAGTGTCACCTTTATTGCCGGGGTGGGAATGGCGGGGGTCAGCAGGGGTGGCCTCGGTGGCCTCGGTGTCCCCTGTGGGTCCCGAGGTGGCCTCGGTGTCCCCATGGAGCTCTTGTACCCCCCCCCCACCCCCCAGTTTGGCTCTGTTCGCCCCAGTTCATCCCAGTGCCCCCCCCCCAGTTCGTTGTGGTGCACCCCCAGTTCATCCCAGTGCACTCCCAGTTCGTCCTGGTGCACTCCCAGTTCATCCCAGGGCTCCCCAGTTTGTTCTGGTGCACCCCCAGTTCATTATGGTGCACTCCCAGTTCATCCCAGTTCATCCCAGCGTGCCCCAGTTTGCCCTGGTGCACTCCCAGTTCATCCAGGTGTGCCCCAGTTTGCTCTGGTGCATTCCCAGTTCATCCCAGTGCCCCCCAGTTCATCCAGGTGCACTCCCAGTTCATCCCAGTGCGCCCCAGTTTGCTCTGGTGCATTCCCAGTTCATCCTGGTGCACTCCCAGTCCATGCTGGTGCATTCCCAGATTGTCACAGTGTCCCCCAGTTTGTTCTGGTGCACTCCCAGTTCATCCTCACTCGTTCCAGTTCATCCAGGTGCACTCCCAGTCCATCCCAGTGCACTCTCAATTCATCCAGGTGCACTCCCAGTCCATCCCAGTCCATCCAGGTGCACTCCCAGTGCCTCCCAGTCCATACTGGTGCACTCCCAGTCCAT